GAAAGGTTGACCGGAGTAGTTAGCAGTGCCTGATGTAAGAGAGAGAGATGGAGGGGAGAAGAGTGTAGAGGCAGGGGGGGGGGAAGAGATGAAAGGGGAAGGGGAGGAGAAGGGAACGGAGGGGAGGGTAGAGGTATGGGGGTGGAGAGAGGAGGGGAGGAGAGGGTAGGTGAGGGGAGAGGCTGGGGGGAGGGGGAGGGGAGAGGAGGGGGGTGGGAGAGGGGAGGGGAGGGAAGGGGAAAGGAGAGTGCAGAGAGAGATGAGAGATAAGGGAGGAGGAAAGCTGGGGAAAGGGGAGGAGAGAAGACAGAATAGGGAAGAGGGTGGGGATACGGGAAAGAAGGAGATAGGGAAGAGAGGGAAGAGGTAAACAGAAGAGGAAAGAGGAGAGAAGATGGATGAGGCGGGAACTTTGAGAAGCGAATAGGAATGCGGAGAAGAGCGAGGGAAGAGAGAGGTAGAAAGAAAGGTTAGAAAAGGGGGAGAGAGGGTAGGGGTAAACAGAAGAGGGAGAGAAGGGGGAGAATAAAGAGGTAAAAGATACATGAGAATAAGAAGAGAGGAAAAAGTGAGAAGAGAAAGAGAAGAAAGAGCAGGAAGGGAATTATTCGCCGTTACTTCGTTTTACACAAAAATAGAAACAAGACTGATGGTAGCAATGATAACAATACCATCAACAGTGTTAATGATAACAGTAAAGAGAAAAAAAGATAAACTACCGATAACAGTAACAGTAATAATTATAAACTGATAAATACAAGCAAACTGATAATAATTATAACAATGATAAAAAAAATCGACAAAAACAACAACAGCAATACCAATGATGGTGATGATGATGATGATGATGATTATAATAGTAATAACGATAATGCCAATAATGAAGATACTGATAACTATGATAAAAAATGTATAAATATGAATGATAAGATATAACTGCAGGGAAGGAGTGAGAAGTCGGATTTTACACAATACGAAAATTCACGACGTTTCTTTTCCTTGTAAGAGAGCTGTCCATTAGATCCGTTAAGGGAATCAAACACTTCAAGCGCGCCTCCGAACACACGATAATGGATTCAAACACCTGAAAAAAGCTGATCTAAAGATGCTTTTTTGTTTATAAACTTATTGAGACTTATGAGACGGTCATGCCACCGCCTGTCCCTAAGATAATAAATGTTAGTTTCACCCTCACACGCGGAGATATTTATGCCCTTTACAGAAAAAAAACTAATAAAGACGGGGAAATCACAAAGAAAGTAAGGGAAATAAGGAAAGCAGAGGGTAGGGGAAGGCTAGGGAGGGAGAGAGGGCCAGGAGAAAGACTCATGCTACTTTAACAACGTAGCTTCTTACTTCTTGGATGGTTTGTCTTCGGTCACTCGTCCTTTTTCTTCTTATATACACGCAGCTTACACGTAAATGCACGCATCTTACATGTAAATACACACAACGTACATTTAAATACATAATTTACACGTAAATGCACGCAACTCATACGTAAATGCATGCAACTTACACGTAAATGCACGCAACTCACACGTAAATGCACACAACTCACACGTAAATACACGCCACTTGCACGTAAATACACACAATGTACACATAGATACACACAACATAGACAACATAGACGCATACATATGACACAAATGCTCATATATGTAAACTATACACGCATGTACCTACTCCTATATACATATACCTACTGTACACCCAAAATTAAACACACAAATACATATTTACATGCATTCACTACTGCTTGTCAATAGCTTCTTCATTTTGGGTTGTATATAGTTTAGCTTTTTCTCTCCTCTACTTGTTTCTCCTTTCTGCCTCTTCTTACTCAATTCCTCCTTGTTTTCTTCCTATTCTTCTACTTCTATACAACGTCTTTCTTCAATTTCTACATCGTGAAAAAAAAATCCAAAATGCGTTTTCCTTCCTTCCCTTCTTCATTCATCGTCTTTTATCACCTTTTTTCTCTTACATCCATTTTCTTGCATTTCTCGATAATCGTCTCGTGTTCTATGACTCCCCTTTCTTCCTATTGTCTTTTCTCTCTTTTTTTCAATTCACTTGCGTTATTCTTCCCTGCTTCTTCCTCTCCGTTATTTTTTTCTATGTACCACCTACGTCATCCTTCGTTTCATTATTTTGGTTTATCATTTCTTGAAGGAACGAGTAAAGACGGAGCGAGGTGGGCTAAGGGGGGGTGGGCAGGTTTTCCAAAAAGAGAATATTTTAGTAACTTTGTCTAACTTTCATAACCGAGAGAGTCAGAGGGCCGTTGTGAAATATTTTCCTTGTAAAGAATGCTTGTTTATATGATCCGTTCTTATTTTGGTTAGCAAGCTGATAGTATGTGTATGACAGTATGACA